AAATGGCTAAAATGTTGTAAGCTTTATTCTCTCATTTGTGATCCTGATGGAAAAATGTGGATTTTCGGGTTCTCCCTTGGGGTGTGCTCGACGAAACTACGTAATTTAGTGTCCTCCCTTAAGTACTTAGTGTCTAATGGAAGACAAGTACTCCTAGGAGGCATTAGATTATGTGGTTCTGCCACAATATTAGATGAACAATTGTAAAACAAGCTATGTGACGTGCTCCTAAATAATTTAAACTATGTAGGTTTGCTCCGAGGGTTAGGTGTGAAACCGAGCTAGCCTACCATAATATATACATAGTGTTTGCAAGACAAAAGATTAAACATGCAAATGCAAACCTAGGCATGAAAAGAAACTCGATGCTAATTGAAATTGCAAGAAATTAAATCTAGTTACCTAACATGGGGAGGGGAATTTGGGTCAATAGTATTCACTAACCCACTTGGAAATTACCTTGTCCTTAATGATACACCCCATGAAATGCACCCATACTTTGCCAAGTCTCTAAATTCCCCGAAGTCCATCGGACTTCTCAGTTCCCTTTCGGGATCCAAACCTTCTTGGTGCTCTTCATGTTGGAAATGATCTTCTTTGGTACCCAAATGTGTTTGGCCCCATTGTTGGCTTGCTTGTTCACCTTAATGGCCACCACCTTGTCATTTTTCTTCTTCTTTAAGAGATAAGGTGTGGAGGTCTTTTTGTCCACCTTGTTGGTGTAGGTGTTGGAGAGCTTGCATGTTTTCTTTTTTGTTTTTCACTTTCTTCTTAGCTCCCCCCCCCCATTCTTCACCTTGAACTCATAGTACTTGTGGCCTTTCTTGTGGCATACGTAGCAAACCACAGTTTGTCCTTCATCAAGCTTCTTCACTCCCTTGACGGTGTTATCTTGATGAAATTGGGCTTGCTCCGTCTTGCCTTTCACTTGAGTCAAGTCCTTGGTGAGGTGAGCCACTTCTTGCTTGAGTTTTTTATTCTCCTTTGCGACTTCTTGTGTGCATGTTTCTACAACAATTTTCTCAACACAAACTTGGTTGCATAAGGGTGAGTCTAAACATAAATCATTATAAGAAGTAGGGGCATCCTTTTTAAGCATGTCAAAAATAGAACCTTCCTTTTTAGGTGCCTCGGTTGGGGTAGTACCGACGGCTTCAAGATTAGAAACTTTATTAGTTAGCTCATCATAATATTTGCACATAGTTTCTATTTTAGCAAGCAAACTTTTATAAGCATCTTGTGAGCTAGCTAACTTTTTCTTTAATTTTTTATTTTTCTTTACAAGTTGCTCATCATTGATTGTGCAATTATTTATGTTTACACTAGTCTCAAGTTGCTCAATTTTAATAGATAGCTCCATATTAAGATTGGCAAAAGTTTCATATTGTTCAAGCAAAGTAGCATAAGCTTGTTGTGAGCTATCTAGTTTTTCTTTTAATTTTTCAAGCTTCCTTTGTTGACTAGTGCAAACTTTAGCAAAGTTAAGATTTTCTTGCATAATTTCATCATAAGAAGGTAGCTCGTCATAAATATCATTGTCACTATCACTAGGGATAGGCTTTTTGTTACCTCGTGCCATAAGGCACACATGTGAGGAGCTTGATGATGAGTGCTTGTAGCCTTGCCTCTTGTGATAGTCTTCTTCTTCACTTGAAGAATCATCCCATGACCTTATTGATGTGAGGGTTTTGTCCTTGCACGTCTTTTTCTTTGTCTTGGGTGTTGGCTTGTTTGGACAAACTTCCACAAAGTGCCCCAACTCGTCGCATCCATAGCATTCTTTCTTTCTTTGCTCAATTCTTTGATTGGTGAAGATGAAATCTTGAATTTAGATAGGCACACCCTTGACATTGAGCCTTTGGATCATCTTCTCCACCTTGTTGATAAGTTTGATTGATTCTTCATCAAGGTCGGAGGTGGAGGAGGAAGATTAATCATCATCACTTGAATCATCATCATCATCATCATTATCTTCTTCTTCTTCTTCTTCTTCTTTTGAGGAGCTTAAGCTTGAGCTTGTCTCAACTTACTTGCCCTTCGTATTCTTTTTCTCACTACATGTGAGAGCTTTGCCTTTGCTTGATGAAGAGGCTTCTTCTTGACCCATCTTGCGAGATATTTCAAATACCACTATCTTGCCAATGACTATGGCCGGGGTCATGGTGCTCAAGTCCTCCATGTTGTGAAGGATGATGATGATGCTTACATATTTCTTTTGTGGTAGCACGGAGATGATCTTCCTCACGATGTCTGCACCACCTAACTTTGTTAATCCTATAGAATTAAGCTCATTGATAATTAGATTCAAACGAGAATACATATCACGAACAAGCTCATCATCATTCATTTTAAAAGAATCATAACTTTATTGAGCTAGACAATGTTTTTGCTCACGGACATTAGTTGTGCCGTCATGGAGCTCTTGGAGTTTTAACCAAATTTCATGTGCCGTATTTAAAGTGAACACTTGGTTAAACACATCCGTGCTAAAAGATTCAAACAAGCAATTTTTAGCTCTATCATTGAAATGAATTTCTTTTTCTTCACTCTTGGTGGGTTTATTAGGATTCTTAATGGGTTTCATCCCATCACGAGTGACTCTCCAAACACCTAAATCTACCACCTCAAGGTGACAAGCCATTCTAGCTTTATAGTAGGGGAAGTTAGTGTCATGAAAGTGCAGAGGCCTAGACGTATCCATCCCAATCACTCCAAATAGCGTCGGCTCAACGGCGGTGAAACCAAAGGTCTAAATTGAGCCAACCGGCTCTGATACCACTTGTAGGGGACCGTGACGCCTAAGAGGGGAGGGTGAATCAAGCAATTTAAAACTCTAACTTTAAACTATGGCCTCTTCGTCTATTCTTAGCAAAACCTATGCAAAAGATAAGCTATCTAAATGTGTAACTACGGTTTTGCTAGTATGTTGCTATCTCTACCGCAAAAAGAAGTTATGCAAACAACATAAATGCGGAAGCTAAAGAGTAAGGTAGAGATATGCAAACTCCCGTCGACGACTCCGGTATTTTTATCGAGGTATCGAGAAGCGCGCAAGCTTCCCCCCTAGTCCTCATTGGAGCCCCTCGCAAGAAATCCCTCACAAGGGCCAAGCTCCCGGTCGGATAACTCCGTAGATAGCCCCGGGCCTTCCCAACGCGCAAGTGGATCTCCGGTGTGCCTTCCGGCAAGCTTCTCCTGGACCGCTCCCCGCCGTCTTTACTATCAAGCTTCCGGCCAAAACGTCGCGGGCCTTGTTCCCTCTGGTACACGGTGGTGGCCACACCACAAACGTGGTTTGTGTGATCTCACAAGACAAGTCCCTTCGATGTACAACAATGGTGCGCGCAAGCACCGAGTGGTAAGAGGTATGCAAATCTCACTGAACACTAGGCCTAAAGCTAGAGCAAGCGTACAAGCGGTGGTCTAATCAACCTAAGCACTTCGCAAAGCACCTACGCTAATCATCTAATGAATCACTAAGCATTATGCAAGTTGAGATCACTAAAATGATGTATCAACACCCTTGGTATGTTTTCTCAGCTCTCCACGCCTCAAATGGTCAGTTGGGAGGTCTATTTATAAGCCCTATGGAAAAAGTAGCCGTTGGGGACAAAACCCAACTTTCTGCTACTGACCGGACGCTGCTGTCATCATGACCGGACGCGTCCGGTCTTTTCGATCGTTGAGCGCGTGCGTAGAGATTGGACGCACTGCCGAGTCCGGTCATCATCAATCGGACGCGTCCGGTCGTATTTGCGTCGCTCTGGAACCTCTCTGGACTTGATCGGACACTGCACTTTGTACGTCCGGTCCTCACTGAGTTGTTGCCGCGACGATGAACAGTGAAGTACGTGCGTCCGGACACTGCCTCGCTCAGCGTCCAGTCATAGCTGCTGACGTCTGCTGTTGCCGAGCAACTGATCAGACGCGTCCGGTCCTCGTAGGGTCGCGTCCGATCACCTCTGAGCTCGTGTCTTCACGATTTTGCGTCCGGCTTGGTTCCCATCTTCGTGCTTGACTTTGCTTGATATCTTGAGTCTTCTCTTGTGCTTCTAAGGTCTTGCTTATGGTGTTGATCATGGGATCATCATGTCGTCTTCGTCCAAGTCATGTCTTGCACCCTATTAAACTATAAAACAATTACTTATAAATTTATTAATCTAATTTGATTGTGTTAGTCATCAAACACTAAAATCCAAAATAAATGGACCTAGGTCCATTTCCCTTGCATCACCGTTGCCTATGCCTACGGCTGTAACGAACAACTCCTACAGCCTGCACTTCGAGTCCCTGGCAGAACAACGCGTGGGAAGAACAACTTCATCCGCGCGCATGCCGTAGATTGGGTTCGTTTGGTTTAACCAATGTTTTGGTTTAGGAGAAAGGAGAAACGGAGTGGAGACAGTTTGGATGCACATGCATTAATCAAATGGTTTGGTGTGGGTAATGTTGGGGGTTTTGGCCCATTACCAGGTTTACTTGCGACTCACGAGGTGAGTGTCCGCTAGAATCCGCTTGATTCCTTAGGTACAGGGCTATTTTGACCTTTTATTGGGACCGGAGTATATATGAGAATATATTAAAAATAGAAAATGAGAGAAAAAGATAGAAATTCCTCCGATCATGTGCCTATAGTTAAAATTTCAAAAATATGTGAACTGAATGTCGAATGTAGAGAGGTGCGCATATTGAGAGTGAAATATCGAAATTTGTCTTCTCTTTTTTACTAAGTCAAATGCATACATTATGTTCGTCAATTGCCAAAATCCAAAAAATCACTGCACCGGAGCCTACATGCATTCAAACATGAGCTGCATTATAAAGTTGCAATTTTATTTTATTTAAAATCAAAATCACATATAACATCTGAGTATATTTTTTAATTGCTTAATCCCTGGCAATATCTTAATTACTGATTGCAGTTCGGGTTTCCGTCCATTTCCCTCAGGCTCTCGCAAAGGACTGGCCCCCACGAACCCTAAAACCTCCAAACCCCAGCAATGGCGGATTCCCCCTCGTTCCGCCGCCACCCGCTCGCCTCCTCCGTCGACCTCGTCCGCTGGCTCCCTTCCTCCTCCACCTCCCCTTCCGGTCGCCTCCTCGCCGCTGCCGTCCACGACCCCACCTCCGGCCCCGCCGCCTCCAGCATCCACCTTCTCCCCCTCTCCGACCCCGGCTCCCCGCTCGCCTCCCTCCAGCTCCCGTCCCGCGCCACGGCACTCCGCTGCTCCCCTGCTGCGCTCGCCGCTGCCACCTCCTCGGGCTCGCTCCACTTCCTCCCCTCCTCGTTCGACTCGGACGCCGCAGTGTCCGTCCCCGGCGGCGCGGGTTTCCATGTGGGCCCTGTCCGGGGCCTCGACTGCGGCGAGGAGGAGTGGGTCACGGCGGGGGAGGACGGAAGAGTGCATTTGGTCGGCGGTGCAGCGGACGGGAGAGTGGTGGCGAGGAGGTTGTGGGACGGGAAAGGAATGTCAGGGTATGAAGCCGCCAGGTGGGCGTCGCCGGTGGAGTTCGCCACGGGGGGCGCCGGATGTGGTGTGCAATGGTGGGATAGGAGGAAAGGGGACGCCGTCGTGGCGCAGTGTAACGGCATCTGGTGAGTGTAGGAAAGCCTGGATCTTTAGGATTGCCTTTCTGGTTTATGTTCCTGTTAACGATGGATTTCTGGTAGTTGTAATAGATTACTTTTATGGTTTCTTGTGGATTGGTACATTATGTCAGCACCTTTCAAAATATTGGTACATCCCCACATTACTTTGATGAACATGTTTCACGAACATTTATGTCAGCACCTTTCAAAATATTGGCACATCCACACATTACTTTGATTAACATGTTTCACAAACATTTTAGTTATGTTATGTCAGTACCTTTCAAAATATTTTCACATCCATATCTTCCACTATGAAAGCCCAACTCAGTGTTCACCATTTGTAATAAATGTTCCTAACTATGCATAAGCTCTAGTGCAGGGTTTGGTTTATTGTGCATCTCTATCAATTTTGGTTTAGGCTGTGCATTACCAAAGATGCTTTCAGTACGGTTTGGTGCATGCCTGTTAATATTGAAGATACTTTCTGGATGGTTTGATGCATGTCTGTTACTGTCTTTGTTCTGAACTGATAAATGGGACTGCCATTTAAGTTTATTGTAGTTGTGCAATAGTTGTAGTCGCTGCTTGGTTTCATTCCAATCTCGCCCACTACACTTTTATGTGAGTACATTTGTAAGATCTTGATGACATCTGTGAATTATGGTTAAAAGAAAATCTGGTGTACCAAAAACATGCTTATTCTCCAAAACTCATGTCATGTATTACAGATTTATGGTACATACACAGAAAGTTTACATTGAGCCATTGAGGTGAAATTTATAGATTTAAATTTGTTTTCAACTGGTGGCTGAACCATGTATTCTACAAGATCGAAGTAGTTTTTGTATATTAATTGAAAATCCCAGCTCTGGTGGCCTCCTGTAACTGCCCTCTTTAAAGTAAGCTGTCAACTATGCTGCTAACAGATGAGATAAAATAGAAAATAGCGAACTCCAAACATTCTTGGTGTCATGTGTTTTTCATTGTATCTGTTATGCCAAGCGCTGCTATCTTGCTGACAATGGGTGAACTTGCAAATACAGGGGTCGTGGCATAGTTACTGGAATGGTGCATTCCATTGACATTCATCCGTCAAGAAAGCATATCTGTGTGGTAAGATCAATATGTGGTATCAAATGCAAGTTTACTTTGAATAAATAAATGATTTTAGTTAAGTGTTATGTTTCATCTGAATAGATTTGAGGATCTAACCTCTAGGATAACAAATCGTCCCAAGTACCATGTAACTAAGTGATGAACTGATTTAGGTTGTTGATGGTTGAGCAAATTAATGTACACCAATAAGCTTCCATTTGAAATATGGAATTCATTTGGGAAATAAGATGTCAAGTGTCAACTATATCAAGCAGCGTTCAATCTTTTTTCCCCAAAATTCCTTTGAAAAATCATATATATCCCAAACAGGTCTTGATTTTTCAATAAGAGGTAACCTAGATCAATGCACTAGAGAAATCTTGCAAGTGAAGTTTAGACAAATGGAAAAGAATCAACAGCACCTTGTTTGTCAGTTTCAGTCGTGTTATTTTCTGACTTCGGCGGTTCGGCCAGTGGTGTTATTTTCTGACTTCAGCCTCAGAGCTAATGGTAATTAATACCTTTGTAATGATCTCCATGTTAAGAAGAAGCTTACCTTGTGTATAATCCAAAGTATTAAAATGGAAAATACAGAACTATGATCTATATACACCTTGAAGGCATTAGGTTATATTTGTCGAAGCAGTTTCACTTTCTATATTTTTCAAATGTAAAATGTTTAACAGAGCAGCTTTTTCATGCAATCAAGAACCAGAGGTTTATGTTGGCTTACCTCTTTTTTCTGAAACTGATTTGCTGTTTTATAGAATTATTTTGCCCTATGATATGAAATATCCAAATTCATCTAAATATTTAGTTAAATTGAGATGAGTTGGTTAATGTACTAGTGTCCATGCCCTCTAGTGTATGCTCTTGCACCCGCGGATACCTAATAAGTGAGCCTGAGCAGTGAGGCATACTGGGCCTAGAGGACTCTAGCTAACATAGTCCACTGGGAGCTTGGACTGTATGGATGCAGGTCACTGCATTGGTGACAGTGAGGAGCACAAAGCTCATGTTATTGCTAGTGCGCAGACCCCTACTGTTCCAATTTTAGTCCAGCCCTGTTGAGCACATAGTTGAAATGAGTTTTATGGGTGTGATTACATGAGTCATATCTGCAGCATGGCTCATTTCTGAATGTTTGCAGGTGGGAGGGTCATCAGGGACCATATTTGCCTGGGATCTGCGGTGGCCGCAGCAGCCAATACCACTCTCTGGTGTAGGCCTTAATGGAACAGCTGAGCCTGTGTGTGAAAGTGAGGTGTGGGAGGTTCTTTTTGACACTTACACTCAGTCTTCTGATATCATCTCGTCTGCATCCGCAAGAATATTGCCAGTGATGATGTGTTCAGAGGATGGGATCCTTGCAGTTGTCGAACAAGGTAAGTGAGATGTACATGTAGCGTTCAGGTTGTCGGTGTTTAGTGTTCACCCATCTTTACTTAACGTGCCTTTTTTCGATTAGCAGATGAGAGACCTTTTGAATTGCTTGCTGAAGCTTGTGCTATCAACTCCTTTGACATAGATCCTCAGAACCCCTCTGTAAGTCCTTGACTTCACCTGGTCAAGTGAACAGTTTTTGTTATTTTTTGAGGGGTAACAGTTTTTGTTATTTATAGGTAATGTCAATATGTTATGTTAATACTGTTATGGATTTTCGCAGGATGTTGTTTGCGCATTGGAATGGGAATCGATTGGTGTCCTAACTCGTGGTAGAGATGCAATGGCAGAAGAATGAAAAGTTTCACCACCCAGGGATCCCATCAGAATTTTCTGCAATGTTGCTGAAACTACTGTTATCTTCTGACTTCTGAGGGCTTCCATATTCAGGGACCATTCTAATACTCATGGTCTTGGGCAACGGTAGAAGGAATAAAGCGTGCATGACAAGGGCTCTTTCCTGTCTTACTAACCCTGTGTTGTATCGTTGGAAGTTTTACTAATTATATGAGCTTCTGTTGCCATGGGTAGTTGCAGATTGTAGAAACCTTTTCTGGTCTAGCTTCAAACTGTCATGCTAACTGCTGACAGTTTGAAGGAGAGTGATCACAAACAATTCAATCCTTTTAGTTGGGGGCTAATGGACTTGAGCTATAATTTGTTTCATAATGTTTCTGTTTTCCCTAGCACGCCTTGTGGTATTAAATGGGCTCCTGGACTGAATTTGGCTGCGGCTGAATTGTTGTGAGAGAAAAACACAGTTCCGGCTGAAAAAAGAAGCTGAACAAGCCGGCTTTTGTGACCAGCCGAACGGCACCTATGGATTCCATTACGTATTTGGTTCATCTGGCTGACAATTTAGAAATTCTTGTTACTGTTGTGAAACGACACTTATACGCGAACGGACGTCTACAGATGAAGAGGTGTTTTTTCACGAGTGATCTCATCCATCAAGCACAGTATTAGTGGATAGGATTAGACAGTTAATTTTAGTTCTAAAGGGCATGTCTTTTGTGAACAGTCGTGTCCCTTCGTGACACCCCTCCACTTATATAAATATATTTTCGAGATCAATGAAAACAACAGTTCTTCCACATCTTGTTCATTTACATTCACTTCTAACACGTTATCAGCACTTTGCTCTGCGAACGACAGACACGCGCATGCCTCTGAACCATCATCGCACGCTCTCGCTGGGGCAGAAGAGGATGAACATGAACATGGCTTTTGCCTTGCCGTGATGACTGATGACATTGTTTTTGTCCTCCATGGCCGCATCGTCTTCAAGAGAAGGATGGGAGGCCACCGGTTTCCTTGAGAATCTGGTACAGGGAAGGCTTGTTGCTTTCTTGTTGTAGGTTCCGGCTCTTTTCGGACCGACTGATTGGAGGCGGGGATGGTGGAGGTCTAAGCACCGCACTGAGCCTGGGACTCAGGAGCGGGGGCTTGGAGTCCAAGTTTGGATGAATGAACTCCGACAGGAACAATATCTATTTCGACGGCAAAGGTATGAAATACGGATACATTATGTACCTTGTTCCTGGAGGATGCCAGACGCGTCTTCTTCCAATACGGAAGCCGTAACTTCGGTCGCGGCAAGCCGGCAACTACAACCATCGCGTCGTTCAGGTTGCAATCAGCCAAATCCGGCACAAGGGGAGTTTCCCCTTCGGCGATGTGCTCGACCTGAGGCCGGCTGCGCCCTCACGCCCGCGGCACCTACGCCCGACGGAGGCGATCCTGTCCTCACCTCACGCGCCCGGCGGCTCGTGGCTCCGCGCCCCCGCGGCCGGCGCTCGTGGCGGCCAGGACCGCAACCACGGCAACGAGCTCGCTGCCAAGGACGTCGCAAACCTCCTCCCGCGCCTCACTACGGCGACCAGAGGCCAGCCCGGTGGCGGGCGGTCCCCATGGAGGCGTCCGAGAGGCCCCTGTCCGAGAGGACGAGCGACGGAAGAAACCGTCCGTGCCTCTACGTGGAAGGGATAAGATTCTGTGGTTTTTGCAGAAAAATCCCCCTTATTACTTGTGAATTACATAATGATTTTCATGAATTATTATTGTAATCCAGATTCATGATTAAGCCCTCAGGTTTTAACATGTCTGTAGCATCCTTGCTAAATGGGCTTGACGGGCGGCAAGCCTGCTACTTTTTATTTATTTATTTATTTGCAAAGAATTCGCATAAGGCTATTTGTCTCTAATAATTCTCTGCAGCAAACTATATAGTTATTCTATGTGTAAGTACTATTTGTTTAGGTCGCTGACTTTAACAATTATGGTACTTGTGATGTTTTACTATTGTAAAATGTCTATTTATGGTACTGTTCAAAGTATTTGTCCCATGGTATGGCAAATCCAATAAACAAGTATCCTTACTATTATGACCATGATCTTGCAATTCATTTATTTAATATGCAATCGATCATTTGATTTAAGCCCATTTAAGCTTTTCGATTTTAAAGCACTACGTTCTTAAATTATGAATGTAACATTTTATGTGTATTTTCTCATCAATTGTATAATGTGCATGTTCTATATTTGTTTGTTGGCCATACACAAGGTAGCACCAAAGTTGCTACTGTGGGATCTACACTAAGTAAACACTTATTGACTATCCTCAACGTGCGTACCCAACATCATAAATTAGAACATATGGTCTACATCTTTTCACAAAGATGACTACCATTAGTTCGCATTCCTATTGGCCATCCACAAGGTAACACCATAGTTGCTACTGTAGGATCTACACTAGGTCCACAACTTAGTGAGTATCCTCAATGTGAGTACCCAATTCGTTTGTGAATTAACTAAGGTCTACATCAATCTTTGATGACTACCTTAAGACGTGTTCATACAACTTACATTAATGACTTGGCATCTATTGTTAACACATAATGCCCATTTTGAGGTCTACACCTTTACTGTGACTACCTCCATTATGTTATTATGCATGAGATTTTTACACTAACATTAATACAAGATTATATTGTCTTTATTTTGCATCCCATTGTAACATCACCATAGCAATTTTAAATTTACCCTTAGCGTAAATTTAGAAAATCTATGGTTTAAACCTTGTTAGAATAATAGCCAGCAAAGAGTTTGTTCTCTTGCTCTTGATGGTCATCATTATCTAACATGGTCAATGGACGTAATGTTAAACTTGATGTTCTATGGATTCATGACAATATTTGATGTTCCTCATAAGAGAGCATCACCACTTATGATCAATTTAAATACGGAGTTTTATTTAAATAAAGCACCATATACATCCAGGTCACACGTATGTGTATCTCAATGGGTGCAAATCGAAGCACTATATGGCTAGCTTTCAATGAGTGATACAAACAACACAAGACAATCATTCTGCCCAATGCCAACTATGATTGGCCACAACTTTATCTCTAGGATCTTAAGTCCACTTGAGAATATAATTATGTTGTTCCAAAATATCCCCCAACATTGCGTTTTCACGAAAGCACACAACTTACCAAATGTATTCTAGATTAATTCCTACATTACTTCAGGTCTAAGTGTATGATAAACTCTTATTGAGGAATCATCATTAGCATCATAGTGATGCTCTATCATCTGAAGTACATTGAATTTTTAGAATCATAACAAGTTCGATGCCATGTAATAATGACATCCATAGAACTTTAATGGTAAGATTTAACGCAAAAAGAAGTAGCAGCCCCGTGCATTCTTTAGGGTCAAGGCATTTCCCAAATATGTCAGAACCATATTTTGTCCCAATTGTGTATGTTACAGTCACACAACTTGGAAATGTCATGCCTTGAAACATTTAATTGATCGGTATTACAAATCCATTGGACATAAATATCCGGCTCAACAATAAAGATATGAAGCACGCTTCTATCTTCAACCTGACACCACCAGGAAGGCCAGTTATTCACAACAAGTTTCATGAAAAAACCAAGTAGCAACCAAACACTTAATTAATAAGTGGGTCTTATGAGCATGGAGAGCACGATCATCGAATTTATTTCGCTTGATTCATTTTGGAGACCAAATTTGTCTTTCATTTACAAAGATGCCTAGTATCTACGTCCCATTTTGGTGTTGTAATATAAAATGTTATCATCAATTTTAATTGAATATCACAATAATGTGCCATCACATTTGATATTCCATTAATTAACTTATATGTAATCTATATATTTGCCAAGCATGTCATTATATTCTTCATGCTATATATAGACCTATACGGGAGTCAATCCAAATGCAAAGAGGAATTTTGCTTAGTGGATAGTTGCATCACAAACTCTATACATAGGGAAGCAAAATATTCCTAAACTCTTACATAGAGACAAGGAAATATTTTGTTAATTGCTTGACGCGATGTCATGATAGTGGGTTTTGGTAGTCCTACTATCATACTCCCTATTGGTACTTAAATAATAATCATGAATTCATTCTTGTATTCTGATTCCAAAATGTACCCAATTAAAATTATAGAGATATCTGTCAATGTGGTTTTCATATGGAAACCCCAAGATGACAACTAAGAGGAGTATTTTTCTCTTAACAACGGATATGGCAATACTTAAACAAAACATCCTCAGTTGGATTTAACTACATATATATAACATGTATCCAATGTTGCGTACAAATAATTCTCTCTTGATATCAACAAGACTTGGCACATTTGTCTTAGTTATTCAATTATAGAGATAACTTGAGAATTATTGTCAATTCTATTGGTCATAGCATCAGTATGAGCCACTACATTTTTTGAAGAAATTCAAGAATATACATGTGACTCTATTTACCATTTTATGGACCATAAAGATACTATGTAATGTACATTTATGCATTTATAATATAGACCTAGGTGTGTCTCTTAGTCATGAGAACCATTACTATACCAAACTCATGGCTTAAAATCTTCAATTTAGAGCAAATTATCCTAGATGCGGGATCAAATCCATTTTATATGGAACAATTTGGTTTTTGGGTACTATATATCAAGTACCTTATGTCCATATCAATAATGGTTTTATTGAGTCTCTTATTGAGAATCAAATTGCATGACATATTAAAATAGAATTATAATTTACCAGAACTAAGTTGTTTTCATGTGGCCTTACACACCGCATCATTAATTCAAATTCATCAAGCTGCACTTATACAACTCCATCCGTTGCAGTATGTACGTGAAACTTTAGCCACAATCAAACATTTTCCATCTGCGCATCGAGTATGTTTTCACATACCCATATCACCACCCCAACATACCAATGGGCATTAGGGATCCCAAGAGGTAACTCTACAGGGGATTTATAAATTGCCCGTATGTTGATCACATTTGAGGATAATTCCAGGCATTAGGGAGAGATTTATACCACATTAAGAATGTCAGGAATCAAAAGAGCAATCCTCACATCCACATACCAAAAAATTCTAAACCTAATCGTTTAGAATGTCTTATATTTGTATCATATTGCAAAGAATCTACCAGAAACATTTACTGATAATAAGGGTGTCACAAAATTCTCTTATCCTACTTATAATGCGCCCAAAAGAATAGAGGTACCAAATTAAAACCATTCAACTCCCACTTCCAAAGAAGAGGGGGAGAAGTACGACCGCTCCTAAGGATAATGCTCCAAGTAAACGTCTGAGGATACCGAGGACAATATCCTCCAAATCAGTAAATCCAAGCCAACCTCAAGTTGGTAGACACCCAAAATGGATGAGCATCCAAAACCCGGATCAAAATCCACCCGGATCAACGGTGCACCCAAATTCTGATCCTAGGACATTGGAACACCCTGACTCCATATGGGAAATGACTCGGAGTCCAAAAGGGTTAACATTTTCACATGCTATATTAATTTCAAGAACCGAATCAATCATTTAAAGACTACAAATTATCGCGGTATATACTCCTCAAAGATTGTTTTTTTACCTTACTGAATCCAGACCAAAAGTCCTAGGCAGAGTGTCTTCGCACTCAAATTTGGTCAAACTAAAAGGTGGCAATTAAGGAGATTGCTCTTGTTCAATGATAAGAAGTATTACCACAGTAATATCTTCCCTCACAGAGTTTCTTTTCAGAAGCAAGGTGGTGAACAATGAGAGCTTGTAGCATATGGTTTCACGCAGAGACCCAGCATAGCATATCCCATGGTATGTGTGAAAATGAAGTTTTCCAAATTCAATAATTGGCATATCAAATGAATTTGATAGATTCGGATGTATAAGTCCCAATGAACTTCACATTCTGAATCCAAAATACAAATCGCAACATACATTGTGTATAATTAAGCATGATTGCGTATATTGGTTATTTTGACATCACCATGATACAGAAATAATTATGCAATCATTTGAGATATAATTTCCATCATGTGGATTCGAGATGGAGGATTTAGGTAAGACCAAATATTGTCTAGGCTTACAACTTGAGCACCGTCCTTTAGGGATTTTAGTGCATCAATCAGCCTATATCCAGAAAATATTGGAGAAAAGATATTGGGACCAAGGTTCTATATCTTAGTGTCGTTGGAGCACTTATGTATCTTGCAAATTGCACCAGGCCTGATATCGTATTTGCAGTGAACATACTAGTTAGACATAGTGCAAATCCAACTCACCGTCATTAGACGGGAGCGAAGCATATCCTCAGATATTTTAGTGGCACAAAGGATCTTGGTTTATTCTTTAAGAGAAATCATGATCCCAATATGATTGGATACACGGATGCTGGTTACTTATCTGGTCCCCATCCCAAACTGGATTTGTATTCTTACATGGAAGTACAGCTATTTCATGAAGTCTTCTAAACAGACTCTGACGGCGACATCTACTAATCATTCTAAAATTATTGCTCTATACGAGGTATCACATGAACGTGTATGACTTCGCAGAATGATTAACCACATACAACAGGCATGTGGTATTGGTTCGATTAAATCACCTACAATTATCAATGAAGATAATTTCACTTATGTTACATAGATGCAAACAGGTTACATAAAGAGTAATGTCGCTAAGGACATTGCCCCTAAGCTGTTTTATCCCCATAAGTTACAAGAAAGCGGGGAAATAAACATCTTGCAAATCACCGCATGCGATAATCTCGCTGAACTATTTACTAAGTCTTTATCAACTTCTATGTTTCAAAATTTTCTACATAAGATTGGTATGCGACGACTTCGAAATTTGCAAGAATCAGGGGGAGACATCTCCTGGATGCTGACCTATACTAGTATTATATTATACTATTTTCTTTCACAAGTTATGCTGACCTATAAGCATGTGTCATATTTTCTATTTTTCCCATCAGGGTTTTTGTGGGAAATATCAAAGACACATATTGCCCTCACAACTCATTCATGGTTTTTCCCTAAAAATGTTTTTCATGTGAGTTATCCAGGAGGCAATACCAATAATATGTCGTCATATTTTTTTCTAATTTTTTCACTGGGTTTTTACAGTAGTTTTAGCGGCATATCACTTTATATTGCTCCTCATATTTTTCCTAAAAGGTTTTTGGGGAGTTATCTTTATGTCGTATCTCCAATATTTTTTCCTATTGGGGTTTTTAATGGGATACCAATGATATAGTAGTTTATTTAAATCACAAATAAATATGCTATTTTCTCCTTATTTTCCAATAAGGTTTAAAGGAGTTTTTATGGCATATCATATATTCCTCAGATTTTTTCCATAGGTTTTTTCGAGAAATTTTAGCTTACAGTTGCATTGATCTCAAGGAAGATTCGATGGGAGTGTTGTGAAACGACACCTATACGCGAACGGACGTCTACAGACGAACATACGTTTCTTCACGAGTGATCTCATCCATCAACAAGCACAGGATTAGTGGATAGGATTAGACAGTTAATTTTAGTTTCAAAGGACATGTCTTTTAGGAATAGTCGTGTCCCTTCGTGACACCCCTCCACTTATATTAATATATTTCCGAGATCAATGAAATCAACATTTTTTCCACGTCTTCTTCATTTACATTCACTTCTAACCGTTACTACTGCATAACTGAATCTGAAGGTGGACAGTGCTTGTCGAGGGGTACGTCCATCTATGTATATAAGCCAAGGGCAAGACACCGACAGCTCACACTGGTGCTATACAAATTTTGAAATGGAAAGGATGTAAATTTTGAAATTTTGTTCATCTAGCTGAGCCGACACCGACAACAAGACAGGAAGGCACCGTTTTGTTTTAAAAGATATCTTGTTTCATTCTGTTCCAAGTGTAACTTCTTTAACTCTGATAAGTTTACAAAATGGTGTATCAATATTTACAGCTTCGAACTAGTTTTGTTGAATCCGCCTCCAATTGAGGTTTTATAGAAGCATTTAATGATGGAGGAGATGTCTTTTATTAGAATGAAACTGGATGTACACTGTTTTCAAAACTAACTATGAAACATGTGGAACTATCATTCTGAATTTTGACTAAATATATATAAAATATTCACTCGATTTATTTTAGGACGGAGGGAGTAGGCACGTTTAGATCTCTTGCCATGAACGGAGGGAGTACACTGTTTGATTTGTTTATCTATTCTCTCGATTTATGCTTAAAAAGTTTTTATTGCTAACAAGGGTGAGTCAGAACTGTTCTTGATTCCTAGCAAAGGCTAGCCTTGTCGAATTAGACAAGGCGATGTGGGTACGTGAGAAAACCAAATGCATCTTAATAATTTGTTCCCGTGGGAGAGCTAAATGGGCTCCTGTGGCGATGCAAGGCAAAACCACCAAATGGGCTGCTTGGTTCTTTTTTCCGTGCACACCCGTCAACCAGTCGTAGAACACGGCATCTTTTTTCCGTGCACACACCGGCCGCTCGCCGCCAACGCGGGAGAGCAGAATCGGCTTGCCTGGTTCGGCAAGGAAAAGCTTTGCCCAAACAAGCTAGCTTGCTAAGCAAAGCAAGGTCCTAAAACAACCCTTGTTGCGCACTATTGTGCCTTGCTACAGGAGAACCAAATTGGCTCGCCCGCAGAAGCGAGCCGGGTCAGCCAGGTGAGGCGAGGCAAGCCTTTGCCAACAACCAAGCAGACATTCTTGCCAGGTAAAGCTAGGCAAGGCAAAAGAACCAAGCATAGCAACCCAGAAGGCCAGAACCCCAACAGGCTCAGCACAGCTTTGTTTCATTTCATATACCTACCCCTTTACCAACCATGGCCGCGGCGGACCCTCGCCGGTGGCCGCTCCTCCTGCGCCTCGGCATCGCCCTTGGCATCCTGCTCGCGGCGGCTGAGGCTTGGACGGGGGAGATCCGCGGCCGCGTCGTCTGCGACGTCTGCGGCGACGCCGCCATCGGCCCGGAGGACCACGCCCTCGAAGGTCAGTCTCAGCCCCGTACACCTGCCTCCTCCTCTCCCCTCGTGCGGATTTATCGACCGCCCTCTGCGCTGCGCCCTGTGGTTCCCCAGCTAGGACCGCTCGAGCGGATCTGGGGTTAGGCGGTTGGCTGCGTCAGGTCTCGAAGTCACCCGATTAATCGCCAATAGTCGTCCTAATTGATATCCTGAACTCGCCTAGGGGCCACGACTCGATTAGGCCAATTAGTTTTCTTGTCGCCTGATTATTCAACGACTAATCACTGTTAATCGGATGACTAGAGGGTGGATGGCCAGAAACTGAATAGAATTGCTGGGCAGCTAAGAACATGGGCTGCATCTGGGACCCCATTTCAAAGGCGTCACCAGACGTCCAGGCGTACCCAGCTCGCCTTGGGGAACAGTGGCGCCTTGTCGCCTAGGTGCCACCTAGGTGTCCTGGCACACCCAGCTCTCGCTTGGACGCCTAGTCGCCTTTGAAACCATGATCTGGGATGGTTTGGGCTTATGCTTTTCATCCCAATTTGCAACTCAACATGCAGCCACCGCCCTAACCCTTACTCTCACTCTGTCTCGCATCTCACTTGTCCAGCCACTCTACCAGCCAACTGATCAATCCAGAGTCATCTTCATGATCTGTGCTCTAGAACATATAGTATATTAGTATATACTAGCTAAATGCCTGTGCGTTGCTACGGGCAAACAAAAGAATTCTTACAATACCTCAACAAATAAAGATCCAACATTTTGTTGTTCACGTTAGCGTGTAGCAGGACATCTTTCATCCAAGGTTTTCTTGGAACTATGGATCGAGCAAGATTAACGTCATCACATTCTTCACCATTTTCATAACTAATTATTCACATTTTTGCTGGAACCAAGTCTGAACACAATAAACTACATGCTTGATCAAAGACATGTCCATTTACATGTTAATCAACCTCAAATGCTATGTCATTTTCTTCGAACAAAAAAGGATGACCAGAATAGGCCTGCAAAAGGTGCGGATTGATGCGACCCATTTGATTAATTTAGAAGGTAAAGGTCCATCAGTTGGAAAACTTTCTTATTCACCACATAAGAAATGCTGCTATTCTCATTGTCTGATGAATGTGTTATACTGAAGTTTGCTTCTGTTGTTATTGTCAGTTAAGTTAGCACTAGAATTCTAGTATTAGTACGTGTGTCAAACATCATATCTCTAGAACATGCCACAAGCATGATTTCATATTTCGAATATAACATTTGGGAGATGCTAAATCCTTTATAATTTCTGTGAAAGTTGGGTCCAAATTTCTCCAATGCTCTGTTACTGTGTTTCCAGTAAAAGGTGGGCCTATGCCCTTCAGTAATCAGTATTTTTGAATTAAAAAAAAAGTCAATTTGATGTGACACGGTATTTTACTATATTTCAGTATTTATACCACTGTTTTCTTGATTTGGGTTCAATATGTTCTGTTCAAATTGTTTTAAGATCGTTCCTAAACTAATCTTTATGATGTTTCTTTCTCGTATAGGTGCCGAGGTTGCTGTCCTCTGCATCACAAAATCCGGTGAGGTTATCAACTACCAAGCCTTCACAAACTCCAAGGGCATGTATACTGTTGCCGAGACTATGCCAGAGAGCGACAGGTGGGACTCGTGCTTGGCAAGGCCTATCAGCAGCTTCCATCTGCATTGCACACGGAGGGGTGATGCTCACTCTGGGGTAAAGTTCACTTACAACAAACCGTCTGGGAACTCACACACTGTCAAGACTTTCCTCTACAAGCCGGTCACCGCCCCTCTGTATTGTAGTTAAACAGTTCCATCACATTTTGTTGGAAGGCAAAAGATAGGAACATGCAGGAAGGATATGTATTTGTGCCTCGACTCCATATATAAGTAGTAAACATAGTTTTCATTGTAAATAAAAGATTCAGTTGTCTATGGGAATGTGTTGTCCTAGTGTCTGGTCACCCATACCTGCAAGGAAACAGATGGTGCGTGCTTCATGTTGATAAATCAGTGTTTTTCAACTGTTGTAAATGTTTTGCGAGTGCTATTCTTATCTTGGTTATGACCAGGATGATTTTGTTCATGTATGGTGCATGTCATTGCTCTCGAGAGGGACCATCCACCTGGCTGTGGTGCAGTATGGTTGGCTTAAGCTTTGGTGTGAAGCTGACCAGGCCCAACACGCGGGAGGGACCGAGGGAGCGGATGTGCTCGTGCATCCACTAGACATCTCTACTCCTAAGTAGACAAAAGGAATTGCTAATATAATTGGTACTTAAATCTGTAGCTCTCTCTATGATGTCAGTATATATATGCCCTAAATGTTAAATTCAGCGAAGAATTTATTGCGTACCACTAACCTGAAACGTAGTGTTTTTAGTGAGCGCATTACATAGGTATTTGAAAAACGAAAGCGAAACCAAAGGATGACATCTATGTTTTTTCTAGTACAGACTGAATATACCGTAAAAGTTTCTTTCTGTGATAGTGCATGGCTGGTAATAACTTTCTCTCCGTGCGTGGCCAAAAGTATTCTAGCCGCCATCAAATTGGTCCAATCAAAACAAATTAAATTGAACCAGGCACTTCAAGCCAGCTATTCATGTTTTCCACAAGTCTAAAAGGCAATGCTGTGACACAGGTTCGTTTGATACCTTGGAGTGGGGATATGATTTTGATGTTTTCTTAGGTCTGTGAATCTGATTTCCATCCATCCCTTGCTTTGACGTTTCTTTCATGGTGCATGTTTCTGCAGATGGTTTTCTGTTCTACGTCTGTTAAGTATGAGATACGTGGTGATTATGGATTCTTTATTTGAGTCTAGATAAATTTCAAAATTATAGCAGCACAGTATCAATGGTTGAATTTGGCTCGACAGTGAAATGTATTTGAGCATCCATGCTCAGAGCACATGCCGGCCTGTGCTGAAACTAAAAATACCCTACTCTTTATTCTGGCCATGAAACATAGAATTAGAATACTATATCCAAGAAGTTCAAATTTCAAAATACATATTCAAAACACGCAAGTAAAGGGCGTACTCAGTGCAGAGAGCTCCCGCTCTGTGCGGGGTTTGAGGAAGGATGTCAGTGGCAAACCTTACCCTCGCCTGTGCAATGCGAGGAGACCGCGACTCGAACCACTTGCACCAGACGGTAAGACTCTACATATTCAAAACACACAAGTAATGAGACAAATATAATTGCCTACATTTTGGATGCATCCGAGTGTGAAATGCCCAGAAGTTAATTCTAGCATAATACAAACACCTGACATGATTAAAAATACTTTGCAGGATCAAATCTCCTGCTCCAGCACCTTGTATACATAGTAACACTCAACAACGGTCCACATGCTCGGTGGTAAAAAGAAAGGTAAAATTGCCCGGGCAGCTTCAAAAAGAAAAGAAAAGAAAGGTAATTCTATACATTAGAATTAAAAGGCAACTGGTTCAATACAACAATTGTGTGCTACCTACTATTTCGAAACACTAGCATTACAATAAATGTGCGCTTGATATCTCAAAAACTAGGCACCGATGTGGTTAGCGATCAACAAACTTGACTTGATAGAAGAGAAGAAAACTGTGACCTGACAGAACCCCTCCAAAAAAACATTTCTGGGTCTTACTTTTTACTGCCTACTAATTTCCGCAAGTTAACTATGCAATCAAATCTCATCTCCACTGAAGCTTTGCTTCTAGCCTCAAAGCACCAAACACCTTGTGTTATGCAGTGATTACTGACAGATGAGGAGCAGTCAGTAACCAGTGACTAAACAACCCTTATTTCTGTGGTTGAAGTTTTCCAACTGAGTGCAGGTACACTGAGACAGACACAACCCTGAAAGTTTAGCAGATTACATTATTCTATCATGAGTTTGAAAGCTCTGATCAGCAGAAGCTGCAATAAAATTATCATTAAAACTTACGTGGATCCAAGGAAGAATGCGAGGGATAAATGGAAGCTAAACAAGAAGACAGATACAGCTGCTGTCAGAAGCATTGCGACTGAAGTTGAATAAACCTGTAAATACATATTGTCAGTAAAAACTGCTGTAATATTTAACTGCATCGAAGCACACTAAGAAGACCAAAATTAAGGTAGTGTTTGCTTCATGGGATGGGGCAGGACGGGACACGATAGGAAGGGCCCATTTAGTTAACATCCACATAAAAGATGCATCTGGGTTAAAGCACCTATATGGCTGATGTTGTTTGGGAGTATCTATATTTGTTCTCCTGGAGCACTGCCAACAACAACAGAGCCTTTTAGTCCCAACCAAGTTGGGGTAGACTAGAGATAAAATCCCCCTTTTTGCAACGCAAAAGATAAATTCAAGTGCTCTAAATTATTACTATTTAAGCTAATGACCTAGGTACTTGCTCCCAGAAAGATTAAACAAAAATATGCATGTCTGAAACAATAGGAAAACAGTAAAAATACATGCATCAACAATGTATCCAGTATCGACTTCAGTGCCATTAAGAATTATTGTGCATATAATAAAACAAGTTTACTATTCCTAGCTACTTCTCTGAAATGATCTAATTCAAATCTAAGCCTCAATTTGTGACCCTCATGGCAGGGTCTAAATCCAGGGAGTTAGCAGGTTGGTGGATACTTAGACTAGAGATTTATTTCATATTTCTATTTGCTTAATTGAAATGATGACAGTGACCTAGGGACTAGGGCTAACTCATATGAAATATTCAACAGAAAACACCTTAATGGCAGCAATTAAACAAAACAAAATATCTAATTTGGAAGCTAACAAACCTATCCATCTAATCCTAACTAATGTAGTCGCCATATTCACGAGTTGCTGCAGTAGCCATTTATTGGCTACAATGCCACATATAAACAGTAGTCAGGCTCTAGTGGGCAGCACATATATATACAATACAACTGAATCAACAGTAGGTCAGTAGCACCATCTATCATGCTCATACATAAATTTAAATGCTAGTGAACATGCCTTGACTATGTTATCAGCATATTTCATCACCATTGAAACAGCAATTCCACTGCACAGTAAACAAAACCATTGTAAGCTGCTTGGTTAAGTCACCAAGTGAAACAAGTTAAACTGATAGTGTTTGGTACCTCAGTGCATGGTTCAGAATCATCAAAACTGTGATGAATGAATACCCATGGAAAAAGCCTCTGTGTCAGATATAAGTCAGTGTTAAATCCATAAATTATACTGAAGACAACATAATAGTTTAGTAGTTTCCATGTGCACTAACTTATTCATGACTGCATCATAATCCTGAACACAAATTGCAACTAGATTGAAGATCACCCCAAAAATGTATAGCCAAAAGTTCTGCACGTTGATGTTTCTTGATGGCCGTTTTTTAATGATAGCCTGCAGTGTTCAAAGATAAATAAAAACATTCCTAATGTTTTACACCCCCACTGAATTCACTTAAAGTCAGACATATAAGAGAACATAAACAAAGAGTAACAAGACGTACTTCTGTATATACCCCAGCAAAACCACTCAAAAGAGCCATCACCTGCATGAGAATGACCAATTCCGCAACGTGAGTGAAGACACTTCCAACAGTAATCTTAATGAAACTGTATATATCTTCTATTACAACTCACAATTGCCATCATCCAACCTTGAATAGGTGTTTGAAGCACATGGTCAGACCTAAATAGGGGCAGATAACATTTCAACTAATCAAAATTCATGTTTAACTAAATGACCAAATGATGACTTGATAATGAGAGAGAGAATTGAAGTGGAATATATTTAGTGCTTACGAAGGATTAAGTTGAGCTGTTGTGCAACCAGCACATAGAAGAACAAATGCTGCCCACTGAATTTCACTTAACCTAAAAGGGACAGGGAAGAAACTGAATATATATACACAGAGTGAAAGACTGCAGAACAGTGAACAGGTACTGATGACATAAAGATTGTAAGACGTTCTAGCAAGGAGGTGAACAAAACTTGCGGTCAGCTAGAAGGCCAATCACACAGAGCTATAGTTCTTTTCTTTCAGGTCTGGTATCTATCATAGACTCATAGGCCAAAAAGATTTGAAATTCTGATTCGGCTTCTATCCAAGTCAAACCATAATAGAATCAACAAAATAAACTGCGACCATGATCCTTAGAGTTCCACTTCTAGAGTAAAGAAAATCTGTAAAGATAATTTCCAATTGCTCAGAAGATACTAACTTTTTCTTCAAAATGATACGGTACAAAACACCTGTGCTGATGATATTTAGGTTCTTCAAGATCTGATAAGCTGGTGCGTCCACATAGGCAAAGATATAGTACTGGCAGATAACAGCAAATGGAAGGGCATGTCAACATGCTTAAACATCATGGAATTAAATTGGCCATATCACAAAAGTACCACTCGCACCTGCAATAGGTTCTTTACCATGTAAAGAACAGCAGGAATTGGATATACACCAACTTCGTCAAAAGATGTGGTTAACCTGAAAACAGCAAAATCAAATGGCTGCTGAACAGAGTTAACAGAAGCAACAGTTTTTAGATTGCAATCGCAAGTCTCAGTTTCCCATATTCACAGAAAAATTCATAACATGTTACAAATTTCTTTGAAACATAATTGCCATGTTAATGACTTGAATTAGTAAAACAAACTTATAATAAATTGACTTTAGCTTAATGTAAAAGTATAATTATACACTCATGTTAGAAATGTAGGAACTAAGGGCGTGTTTGGATAGCACCCTGACCCAGGCAGCGTTGGCCAGGCAGCGCATTCGACCCTAGGCGTCCAAAATCGGACGCCTGAGAACTCTTGCCTCGGCCAGGC